TATATATATATATATATATATTTCTACCGATGTGTAGATTAATTTTAATCTCGGTTTAATTTATTCTTTAGATTTTTCTACTGTTTAGAAAAAGCTAAAAAATAAACCGAGATTAAAGTTAATCTACATTGGTAGAAATGCAACACAGAATGTACATTTTTTTCTTCTATTTCTTTTCTCTTTTTCGATCTTTTTCTCTCGATAAATAAAACGTCGATCGCGCAATGTAATGTTCTTACGTTATTAATACAATTGCATATCGCGCGAATAAAAAACGTCAAGTCGTCTTAGATGCGGTCAGCAGCATCCCAGTGGATGCACTTCATCCGGAGTGCGCCTCCATCCTGCACGTGCGGTGGGTTAAAAACGTCAAATTTCCTCCGGCAAGTGTCCGAGGAGCGGGAGAGCGAGGCCGCACCAAATTTGGTCATGCCAGCCTGCTTCCAGAGAGAGAGAGAGAGAGAGAGAGAGAGAGAGAGAGAGAGAGAGAGAGAGAAAGAGAGAATGCTCACGAGAGACGTAGGCTCTCCGTAGTACGTGGTGCGCTGCGTAATCGTGTTACTACACTGCTGCTCTCGCGTATCTTATCGCGGGCACGAGAACGTTCGATTTTCGTTCCCTGGTGGATGCTGGAAAATGCGCACGTACGAGCGAGCGACTTTACGATTTGCAGTTCGCGCGATGCATCGATCCTTAGGTCGACGAAAATAAATTCCTCGGATAGTTTACGCGATGCAAGAAGAGAAAAAAAAGATGGAAGCGCAGCTAAGGAAAGAATTCTTCCGCGGAAAACTGCTCGGCAAGACGTCAAGCTTAATGTTCACGGTTATCGACGCATATTGATGATTTTCTTTTTTTTTTCTTTCGTTCTCTTTCTCATGTAATCTTCCATGTTTTGTTTTATTCACTTTTATAATCTGTATAGAGTTTTGATTTTTATTTATATTACATTTTTATTATTATTTTTTTAGAAGGTTTTATAGGTAGACGGTGAAGTGATGGTGTAATAAAATTAAATTCTTCCGACTATACGGAATATTCGACTACCTGTGATTGGTCAATTCTTATAAATACAACTATTTATAATTTTCACTATTACTATTTACGCAATTATAGAAAAAATAGATTCAAAAAGATTACTAAGAAATTTATAAATGAATTTTAAAAAATCGTGGATGGAGCCTTTCGATAGGTTCATTGAGTGCATTCAGAGCGCTCATTACTGAGTGAGAAAGGAATAATATGTTTATTTATTCGTAATGTAATATTCGTAATGTAGAATAACTTATCTGTTATAAATAATCTTTAATATTACATTTTTTACTTACTTATTATTGTTTATTATTTTTCTAAGATCGTGAGGATTTGAATGCTTAGTGAGCGGTATAAAATTACGCTTACATAGCTCACTAAACACTCACGCTCTCATGGTCTTAAAGAAATAATGAAAAGTAATAAATAAGTAAGTAAGAAGTATAATATATATTAAAAATTATCTATAATAGATAGATAAGTTATATTACTCTCTAAATCTGAATCAGTGAAGTCATTAATTATCCAGTAGCATACTTGGCACTGATAATCAGTGAAATTCAATTAAAAAAGGAAGAATGTTTGAGCATTATATAACTAAAATATTGATATTTGCACGTTAATTTCAATTTTCCAATATTCATTGAATTTAAGTATTAAAATAAAGTTACATCACATAATAAAGATTAGCTAGGTTAGGGATCTCACATTTAATTCACTGATTATCAGTGGCATACTTGGCCTTATCCATATTACGAATATTATAACAAATAAACATATTAATAATTCCTTTTTGCTCATAAGCATTTTTGTTCAGTGAGTAATCATGGCATCTGGATGTACTTATTGTACTCATTTCCCGATGTCTAACCATGGAACTCGATACATATAATATTAGAGAGTTTTTACAATAATGTGAATTCAGATACGGTGAATGCTAAAATCGTATTATCCTTTTCTTAATTAGTTGTTAAAAGAAAATAACCTGACTTTAACATCCACCGTATTTGAATAATATTATTGCAATTTTATGCGAATGTCTCGATGATCGTAATCTTGTAAAAATTAAGAAATATTGGTTAGATTTAATTAACCAATTCGTCAACTTCTTTTGGCATCTGTTTATTCTTTTATCTTTTCATACAACACAGAATTTGCAGCAATATCGCTGCAGTAACGCTGCAATATTGCTGCACTATTACAACATTGTTAGTTGCTGCAACTTTTGTAGAGGTTGTATACATTTTGATTTTTGTGAACAGCTGTACACATACTATATGTGTTTCTTTGTATT